TTCGAACAGTGCACCTCTGGGATTGCAGTGCAGCTTTTTGCCACTAGGCCACCAGAGCTCCCTAGCTTGAGTCTTTTTTTAATTTTTATACTTTTTTTTTTTTTTAATTTTTATACTTTTATGGTAAGGTTAGGTTTTCATTCCTTCATTATTAAATATTCCCGCTCCCTTCCCTTTCTCCCTCCCCCAGTCTGCTTTGCAGCGTCCTCTTGCTCAAGATTATAGTCATCCAAGCTTGATTCTCAACCTGCGTGGAGGTGAGAACCCGCAGTTTACAAGGTGCTGGTCTGGGAAGCATCGCTTTCCAAGTCCATGATGGGGGTGAACACTCCTGTCTGGCAGAAGCGCATTCCTGGCTGCCGAATCGCCCTTACCACCAGCTACAGAGGGCCTGCGTCCTTCCCTGGTTACCGTCCTGTTGCCAGCTCGCTGGCCACTCGGACAGCACGTGGGGCCTTGTTAAGCTGGAGAGGTGCACCTTGCTTTATTGTCCTCCATAGACGTTGCGTTTTCACAGATTGCTGGTTATGACCATCCTGCATGTAACAAGTCTAGTGACACGTGTCATTTCAAGCCTCTGTGTCATGTTTCAGTGAGCCTCACAATATTTCACACTCATCCCTAAAGAGTCCCAGATCTGGGAAGCCCGCTGCCAGCAGGCGGATTCGGAGTCTCCAGCAGGCTTTTCGTGGCTGTAAATCTTAATGAGAGGAGATTGCTTGTCTTCCCCCCAGAGGAGCGGCTGGTGGATTTGAACTGCCAACCTCTAGGTTAGCAGCACAATATGCTAGGCACACCAGAGCTCGATAGGTTAGTCTAGTGAGATAACTTCAGTACCCACTGGAAAACAAGAGTTGGATGGCTCACTGCACTGCAGTATTTGCTGTATTACAGTGGTTTGGAATCAAACCCACAGTGTCTCTAAGTTGTGCCCGTGTTGAAGAGTATTAGTGACTCAGTGGATTAAGCCTTGGGCTGTTCATCACCGAAAGCTTGGCAGTCCAAACCCACCAGCTGCTCTGCAGGAGGAAGGAGGCCGTCTGCTCCTGTGAAGATTCAAGCCTTGGAGGCCTGGAGTTCTGCTCCATCTCACAGGGTCACCTGCGTCAGGGGCGACGTGGCGGCCATGGGCTTGGTTTGTAGCTGGTGTTGGTGAGCCTTGAATCTGTAGGAGGCATTTGACAAAGACTTTACCTCGTTTCATAGATTTCCACAAAGTTCTCCTGTACCCACGCCCACAAGATGGAGTTTGTTTCTCTGTGCGCACACACACACTCTCCTCGTGCACAGTCACCATACACACACACACTCTCTCTCTCTATGTCTCTCTCTCTATGTCTTTCTCTCTCTCTCTCTCTCTGTGTCTCTCTCTGTCTCTCTCGTCTTGCTTTGTTGGGCTTTGCAGGTCCTGCCCTTTTTACACACTGAATGTTTGTGACAACCGTGCATCAATCAAGCAAAGCTCCTGGAGCCATTTTTCCAATGACATTTGCTGTTTGTGTCTGTCACACCGTGGTCTCGCTCACAATAGTTGTAATGTTTCTGTAAAACTGTTGCACACTTCCTAGGCTACAGTAACTTGTAAGATGGGAAACAACCACAGAAAGTGTGTGGCTGTGCCGGTTGGTGTGGAAGGAGTGTGGGCCTCCGAGGCCGCCTGTCCAGCGTCTCAGGGTAGAAGGTGGAGGTGGAGGCGGTTCTTTACATTGTTTTGCCTGGCGGGAAGTAACATGCTTTCAGAAACGTCCAGCTCTGGGCTGACCTTACAGTCCTTCCAGGAGTGTGTCCTGAGCCCCCGTCTCGGCGGACCAGCTTCTCCTCGTGCGTCTGCCAGGCTCCCCTGTCTTCCTCATCACACTCAGAGCTGCCTGTGGCTGGTCTGTCTTTTTCTAAAAAGTAGTGTGCTTTCTTGACTGGGGGCTGCTATGTGCCAGACTCCTGACCTGGTCATTCTGTCAAAGGAGACAAATTACTCTTTGAATCCAGACCCAAACCAGAGGCTGCAAGCTGTCCATGGTTTTCCGCTCGCTGACCCGAGGAGGGGCTGTGGCGGTGGGTCCTTGGCTCCAAGGCTGCTCCCCTGTTGGCTGCTTGGCTCTGTGGAGACTTTTGGGTGCAGCGCCGCCCCATCTGTGAATTGAAGATGGGGTGTGAGACGTCAGTGACCCAGGAGAGACCTAGGTGGCCTCCCCCGTCAGGAAAAGACACAGAGGACACCCCATCTCCTGTCTGTGTGGCCTTCCCTGCTGTGTGATGGAGGTGACAGTGGGGTGCCATCACTGGCCTTTTGTTGGACTTGCTGTGGCTTCACCCTCACCCCAAGAGCCCCTCGTGGAATGTCCATTGTGGCAACTGTGACTTTGCCGAGTGCCCCATTGGGAACAGCCGGAGAGTGCCCTCCCTGCTGGTTCCCCACAGGTGTCCATCTCCCTCAGCGTAGCATCTCCAGTCCTCACCACGGCCTGGCCCCTCCGCCGAGGGACACTCCAGGCAGGCCCCAGCCCTGGTCTCCATGCTGGCAGTGTGCACCCATTAGGCCCCTGCTCCCCACAGAGAGAACACCCTGCTCCCCATACTGCCTGTGGTCTCCGTGCTCTGGGCATCTGTCTGTCCCCCCGACAGCACGTGCATGAATGTCCTCAAACAGGAACTTTGTCCCGGCGTCCGACAGCACATCCCACCGAGCCCAGTGCTGGATCGGACGGGGTCCCTCCAGAGCCGACCCAGCTGCTCCCTTACCCCCCCCCCCATGGTGGGCAGGGCTATGCTGTGAGGACCCCTCTCCCCCAAGCACAGCATGGGGTACATGCCTGTAACAGACATGTTAGATAGAGAACCCAGGCACCAAGCATAGTTCAGCACTGCCATGACCCCTCTGCACCTAGGGTCACAGGTGGCATTTCTGTGCGTTCTCTTAGCCACTCTGATTGACACCTGGCAGCTGCACCGGCCTCCAGAGTTGCTGGTTCACTGACCCTGGGGGCGTGACAGAAGTGTAGAGCCGGGGTGACCACCGTGAGAGCTGTCCCCCACCCCCACGCCTCTGTGTAAAAGCCACTGTGGTGGGAAAGCATGGCATGGCAGTCAGGAGCTGCTGTCTGGGGAGACTGCAAAACGGAGATGGAGAGCCTGCCTCCCGCTAGGTGTTTTGAGATGTTGAGACCCAGTGAATAAAGCACTTGGCACTCAAAGCAGAACGGCTGTCCAGTCCCCTGTGGGGGCAGGAGGGGGATCGCGTAACACTTGCAGTTTGTCTGGTGGCTTAGTTCTGCGGGGAGCCTGGTGCTTTCTGAGAGCGGTGACAGCACCCTCTAGTGCTGACAGCCTTCCTGGTGCCGGGAGTCAGGTGGTGACAGAGCAGGACGTCCACGGGTTCCCGCGGCTGACCTCTGTACAGGAGCAGGCTTGGCTGCCCGTGGAGCTGCTGGGGCGGCAGGCTGCCAGCATTTGTGTCGTTAGTGGAGCACTGGACCACTGTGTCCGTAGGCTCCTCCAGGGTTCCCGTGTGGTGGGCAGCGAGGGCAGGGTGTGAACGGAGCGCAGGGAGGGGCGGGAGGAGCAGCACAGCATTCAGGTCACTGCCCAGGCCTCCTCTTTCTCTGCAGTCCTGAGGAGACACGTGCTTTGGTGTGGCTAAAAGTGTGAGCTCAAGTTCAGCCTTTCCTTCACTTCCTGGTTTTGTGGTCTCATGCAGGTTGCTTGTTTGGGGTCTCTGTTTTCTTGTCTTTAAAATGGGTCCAGCAGGGACATTGACAGGGTGCTTAGAAAACGAGCCTCATGGGCTGTGCGTGGCTGGAGGACTGAGCTCCTGAGTTCCCGAGAGCTGTCTCCTTCCAGGCTGGAGATGTGGGGTGCAGGGGTGGGGGGCCAGAGAGAGGAAGGCGTGGCCTGGTGTGGGGAGGACTGTGGGCGACAAGCATCAGAGCTGTGAAAGACCAGGGAGCCCTGCTCTTCCAACGGGGCTGTAGCTCGGTGACAGTCTCCTCTTCCTTCCTTCATTCTCCAGCATCAGCTGTCACAGCAGGACAGAGACATGGTCCCGCCCCAGAACCAGCACAGACTGCAGATGGGCTTGTGTCTTCAGGCCACCACCTGAGAGGGCAGGCTGTGCAGGTCAGAGGGAGGGGCCTAGACCCTGCTGTGGTGGCCGTGTCTCCCAGTTGCTCTGCTGCAGAGTTGGAGCTTCAGTTTCCCCCGCGGTCAGAAGTGATTCTCCCAGCAGGAACACAGCAGGGCTGGGCAGGCTTCCCCGGGACTGTGCTGCTTCCTTCCCCGCTCGATAGCCCGTGAGGGACAAGACCTAGAAGCCTCTGTGGCCACGCTCAGGGCCTCTGGAGTTCAGTCCTCCTCCCACCCCACCCGGCACAGCTTCTCATTGGATTTCCCTAGACTGCAGCTTCTGGTTTCTATGGCAACTTGGGAAACCTGTTGTGGCTTTTGGAAGTCTAAAGCAAGCAGGAGGTTGGAATAGGGTGGGGCGGCGTGGAAAATACCATGAAACCACATCCAGATGGGGCGGTGATGCCCTCACCCAGCAGAACCCTCTGTGCCCCGCACAGCCTCCTGGGGTCTCTGACCAGAGCTGGAAGGAGCCAGACCTTCCGGAGGGTCTTCAGCCTCAGAGACCCGGTGCTCCGGCTCCGTGCAGGGAGGTTGGAGACGGCGGGCATCCTGCAGGGACTGGCCCGTTCGGCTTCACTAAGTGCGCGCTCTGTCTCCTGCTTCATACCTGTAGTTGGGGACCTGCAGGTGAGCCCAGGAGCCTGGCTCTGGAATGCACTCTCACCTGGAGGCGGGCCTGGGCCCTCAGAACATCCTTGTGGAGGGGTGCGCTAGCCTAGCCAGCCCGACTCACCCTCACGGCTCCTGCTTGCTGCTCCCTGCACAGGCCCAGCCGCTCACAGTGGAGCTTGTCCGGTCCTCGGGCACAGTCCTTCCTCCCGCCGTGTCCATCTGCCCTTCCGGGGGAGCTCTGCTGCTGGGGTCTGGCGGAGGCAACAATGGCTCTCGCTGGTCCCTGGCCACCCTCACCCCGAGAACCACTACCAGAGCTGATGAGCAGCCGTCAGGTGCCTACAGTGGCCAGAGATAAGGAGCAGGGTTCCAAGGTGACCCTTTCCTCGCCACCATGGTGACCACTGGCTGCGAGGGGCACCTGTGGAAAGCGAGTACGCCCTGCAGCAGGTACATCGCTTTCTGGCTCTTGATGTATCCATGCCTTAGATATGATCACTTGTACCCCCATCAGCATCGAGCTCGCCTTGGACAGGAAGGGTGACTGAGGGTCAAGGGCTTGCCAGTGTCCATTTGCTGGAGGGAGGGCTGAGCCCGCGCCCTGTGACGCGGCTGCGATGCTGGCAGGACACCTGCACAGTGCCTCTCACCGATCCCCTCCACAGCTCAAGCTGGAAGACCGCTCAGTGGTGCCTCGCGATGTGGTCCGGCACATGCGCTCCACCGTGAGTTCAGGGCAGCCCCTCATTCTCTGCATGGGGTGGGGGGACCCTCAGCTCTTGGGAGGGGCCAGGGCCGCTGTGCTGCGTGCCTGATGCGGTCCCTCCGGCCCCAGGACAGCCAGTGCGGGACCGTGATCGATGTGAACATCGACTGTGCCGTCAAGCTCATTGGCACCAACTGCATCATCTACCCAGTCAACAGCAAGGACCTGCAGCACATCTGGGTGAGCTGTGCCCCGTCCACCACCCCCACCGCCTCGTGGCTCCCGAGGGGCCCAGCGGAGCACACCCCTCCCCTCCTGCCCCGTCTGGGTGAGCTGTGCCCCGTTCACTGCCCCCACCACCTCGTGACTCTGTGCTCTTGAGGGGCCCAGCGGAGCACACCCCACCCCTCCTGCCCCACCTGATCCTTACCTGTTTTCTTTTCTCTGACCACTTCTTAACACGTTTCTTTTCAATCAGCTGCTGTTAAATGCTTTCACATTTACATACAGAAAAGTTGTAAAGACAGGGTGGAGAAGTCCATTTTCCACTTGTCCTCTTCCCCAACTGTTAACATTCCAACATTTGTTCCATGTCCTTCTCCGTACCTCCTGTCCACTGCAGACACGCTGGCTCCAAGGCCACAGAGTATTGTGGTGTGTATTTTCAGCCGGCCTGGATGCCAACACTGTTATATCCCTGTTGGTCCACAGAGTCCATTCACCCTCCAGGCAGAGCCCCTCCTCCCTTCCCCCCTGCAGTCCACATGGAGGGCACTTTGCGTTTATTGCATTTTTTGTCTGTGTGGAGCCCCCTCTCACCTGAGGCAGTTTCTCCATTCTTTCCTGTCCCTGTCTCCCAGGCACCTTCTCAGCCTGGTCCCTCCAGTGCTGCCTCATGAACTGCCTCAGGCTGTAGTGGGAGGTCCACAGAGATGTGCTACCAGCCTCACATCTGGGCCACGCACACACCAAGGGCCGTCTCTCTGCTCCATGGGAGTAAGATGGGGCGGTCTGCACCCACAGAGATTCCAGCCTTGCAGGCCCCATGGGACAGCAGGAGTCAGAATTGATGGGTCTCTTCTGAGGTTGTGTTAAGATCCCCTCATATCAGATCCCAGCCCACCTGCACCGCCCCCACGAGCGACTCCCTCCTGGACCAGTCTTCACTCCGACAGTTGCTAAGGGCAGTTTGTGGCTGTGGGTTCTGTGTCCCTTGTGTTTGTAGCTGGTGTCCTGCTACAAGGACGAGCGATGTTTCCCGCGTCTGCTTCCTCGCTGTCTCTGTGGACACTCGGAGCATGCTGTAGTAAACTGGCCGTGATTTTAACTATTGTTATTTACTTTCTTGATCTGAGACATCTTCAACTCAGCTCTCGGGGCCCCCCAGCTGCCCCTGTGCCCCTCTGATGGGTCTCTTATCATTTTTCCTGCGGGTGTGCGTAGATGTTCTCTGCCCCCAAATTGGCCCTTTCCCCAGGGGCCCTGACTGCCAGACGAGCGTGGTTTTCAAATCCAGAGTCTGGTGCACGAGTCCAGCCTCCCACTGGGCCCTTCTGGAAGGTGGCTCAAATCACCTTCCTTCCCTCTACTAGTGACTGGCACCCCACCCTCCTTTGTCCCCCTGCTGCCCCTCCACGGGCCACTCCCATCCAGGATCTCTGAGTGTTTCTCCTCACTCAGTGCAGGAAGTGGGATGCAGCTGAGACTTCAGGGGAGGGGACACGTCCAGGCAGGAAGCTCTCTTGGTCCCGCTCTGTTTCAGTGGGCACGAGGACCCCTGCCTGATGGGGCCTCAGATGCTCCTGCCCTGGGCACCAGTGCTGCTGGCCATGCTCACTGCCCTGTCTGCCTGCAGCCCTTCATGTATGGGGACTACATTGCCTATGACTGCTGGCTGGGGAAGGTCTACGACCTGAAGAACCAGATCATCCTGAAACTGTCCAACGGTGCCAGGTAGACCCTCACTGCAGGAGCCATGGCTCAAAGCTGGGAGGGGGGCTGTGATGACCGCTTGATCAGGGCCAGTGCTGACACTGTGGTACCAGAGCTTCGAGTCCTGCTGGACCCCGCACTCCACTTGGCTGGGTCATCTCCCCGTGCCCCCCACTATGTCTGGCCTTTGCCTTCTCTCAGCCTGGAAGGAGGGGCTGCACCACTTGGGGGGCACATTTGGAGCTGCGGCTGTACCACGCTGCACCTGCAGTGCGCTGGGCCATGAGTCGGGGGTCTCCATGTGGGGGTCTGCTTTATCAGTGACAAGGCTGGGCCACCAGAGGGCACAGTGAGCTGTGGACACCTCTGGGTAACTAGTGTCTGATTGATGGGGAATCGTAGCCTGGCTGTCGCCCTCCCAGGGCCTTGATCACTGGCCCCTGGTGGAGACCAGACGCTGTTTTCTGTCCAGGTGCTCCATGAACACGGAAGACGGTGCCAAGCTCTACGATGTCTGTCCCCACGTCAGCGACTCGGTGAGTTGGCTGTGCTGAAGACAGATCCACTCAGCTTTCCGGCCCCCTCCACCTACACTTTGTGGAGGAGGGAGGACGTCTCAGCCTTCAGTGTAGGGTGGAGCAGGGGCCCTGTGTGTGTTTGTGTGTGTGTGAGTGTGCAGGAGGGGCCGGTGTGTGCACACACGGGGTCATGTGGAGGTGTGTGTATACATGCATGTACATGCTGGTGTTTAAGCGGGGCCCACTTTATGCTTGTGGGTGCTTATCTGTGTGTACATGTTAGAGTAGAGGGGCCGTGTGCGTGCACGCATGTTAAAGAGGGCCCGTGTGTGTGTGTGTGTGTGTGTGTGTGTGTGTGTGTGTGTGTGTAGGCCCACGTGAGGTTAAATGAGTGGGTAGCCTCTGAGGGGCTGCATCTCACCAGGACTCTGCTCCCCCCCGAAACCTGCAGGGCCTCTTTTTTGACGACTCCTATGGCTTCTACCCGGGCCAGGTGCTCATTGGCCCCGCCAAGATCTTCTCCAGTGTCCAGTGGCTGTCAGGCGTCAAGCCCGTCCTCAGCACCAAGAGCAAGTTCCGTGTGGTGGTGGAGGAGGTGAGGCCCGGGCAGCGCTGCCCCTCCGAAGCCTCCTCCCGAGCCGGGGCTTGGCTGTGGTCTGCAGCCTGCTCTGTGCTTGACTCGGCCTCTGAAGACCCAGCCCGCCCTGTGACCCTGTGGCCCTCATCTTCCCTAGGTGCAGGTCGTGGAGCTCAAAGTCACGTGGATTACCAAGAGCTTCTGTCCAGGGGGCACAGACAGCGTCAGTCCCCCGCCCTCTGTCGTCACCCAGGAGAATCTAGGCAGGTGAGCACCCACATCGCTTGCCTGGCCCTGCCGGGCACGCCCAGGGCAGCTCCCGCCTGGCCCCCGTGCCGCCGCCGCTGCCCAGCCTGGCCTCCTCGCCCGCCTCTCCCCTCAGGGTGAAGCGTCTCGGATGCTTTGACCATGCTCAGCGGCAGCTGGGGGAGCGCTGTCTCTATGTCTTCCCGGCCAAGGTAGAGCCAGCCAAGATTGCCTGTGACTGTCCAGAAAAAAACTGCGCCCAGGGGGAGGGCTCTATGGCCAAGAAGGTATGTCCTCGGCGCTGGGGGTGGGCGGGCTTCCCACAGCAGGGATGGCCACTGAGGGGTGACGAACTGCTGCCCACCCAGACGAAGGCGCCTGGGGTCGGGCTGCCCGAGCCCGTCCACGGCCCCCACGACCCACCCTGCTCCTCACAGGTGAAGAAACTGCTCAAGAAGCAGGTGGTTCGGATCATGTCCTGTGCACCCGACACCCCGTGTTCCCGGGACCACTCTGCGGAGGACACAGAGAAGAAGGGGGAGGCCAAGGTCAAGAGCGAGCCGGGCTCCGCCAGCCCCGACGAGACCCCCGACGGCTCGGCCAGCCCAGCAGAGGCGCCGGACGAGGGTCCTGAGGAGGCCCCCGAGAACGGCGAGCAGCTGCTGCCCCCCTTCCTGCTGAAGGAGGGTGGAGAGGACCGGCTGCACTCGGCCGAGCAGGACGCGGACGACGAGGCGGCCGACGACACCGACGACACCAGCTCGGTGACCTCGTCGGCCAGCTCCACCACGTCCTCACAGAGCGGCAGCGGCACGAGCCGCAGGAAGAGCGTCCCTCTGTCCATCAAGAACCTGAAGCGGAAGCACAAGAGGAAGAAGAACAAGGTCACCCGTGACTTCAAGCCGGGGGACAGGTAGAGACGGGCCACCCCAGGAGGGTCAGCCTGAGCGCCCTGTAGGGACGGGACCAGGACAGAGGCGAGCTGTGAGGGGACCCAGCTCCGCACCGTCTCCCCTCCTCCCCGTGCTGCCCAGCGTCTCCGGGCCTTGGAGTGGGGGTGGGGGAGAGAGGCCCCCTGCCCTTCCTTCAGGAAGCAGCCTCACGGCTGGTCCCGACCCGCAGGGTGGCCGTCGAGGTGGTGACCACGATGACCTCAGCGGACGTAATGTGGCAGGACGGCTCCGTGGAGTGCAACATCCGCTCCAACGACCTCTTCCCGGTGCACCACCTGGACAACAACGAGTTCTGCCCAGGGGACTTCGTGGTGGACAAGCGAGGTAGTCATGGCCCTGGTGGACATAGCAGAGGGGCACTAGGAATGGGTCTGAGGTCAGGCAGGAGAAGGGGCTCTTGCTGGGTCTTGTGTCCCGGGTGGTTTGAGATGAGGGTGAGTGGACACTGCCCTCAGTGAGCCGCACGCCCTCTGCCCGCAGTCCAGAGCTGCCCGGACCCCGCGGTGTATGGCGTGGTGCAGTCTGGGGACCACATTGGCCGCACCTGCATGGTGAAGTGGTTCAAGCTGCGGCCGAGTGGGGACGACGTGGAGGTTTGTGTGCACAGCCCAGCCCAGCCGCGGGGGGTGGGCCACAGGCAGGGTGGGCGCACCGGCAGGGGCCTGATGGCCACCCGTCCTGTGCCACAGTTGATTGGAGAAGAGGAGGATGTGAGCGTGTACGACATTGCTGACCACCCCGACTTCCGGTTCCGCACAACGGACATTGTTATCCGCATCGGGAACACTGAGGATGGGGCCCCTCCCAAGGAGGATGAGGTACCTGCTGCCCCAGATCAGGTTTCTGTCCACGCTCTGGCCAGGGCAGCAACTGCAGTCCCTGACAGAGCCACCAGGTGGCTCCACGCGCAGGCTGGCTGTTGTCTGGCATTTCCAGTGTCAGGAAACCAGTGTCCACTGGCCGTGCCCGAAGTGCCCTCCTCAGGAGACCAGTGCCTGCACGAGACGTGGGCTTACCCCTCACACCCACAGAAGGACCGGTGTCAGGCTTCATTCACTTGCTGATCCTGAGACCCCTGTGTTGTCCCTGAAGTGGGGGAAGTCCCACTCCCCACCTTCCTGACTGACGTTAGTAACAGACACCTGGTGTGTGGAGAGTAACAGCGGCGAGGTTACATGTCACTTTGCCTGGACTGCACTTCTCAAAGGTGTGGCAGTCACGGACGTGATGCCGGCTGGCATTTTTGCAGTGATGCCTTCATTCAGTTTGTAAGCTGACACGGCTGTCCATTTTTGCCTGACCATAATTTTCACAAAACCACCTGGTCTGTGGATCCGGATCATCCTCTGAAGGTGGCCGAGGACGTGCCCCATACAGGAGGGACTTAGGACACGTTCCCTTTTTGAGGAGGTGGGAACAGATCTTAGTTACAGGAGATACAGGAAGAAAGTCCACATAGGCCCTGAGTCCCCTCCCGGGAACGGCTACACGGGCCCAGCATTGCATTCACTAGGAAGGCGTCCATGGTGCAGATCTGTGAGACCGGGGAAGGTGCCTGCAGCGGGTAGACAGTGAGCCCACAGATGTGTGAGCCGGAGCGTCTCACACGTAGATGGTCCTTAGCTCCGATTGTACCCATAGTCCTTCACTTCTCGTGGCTCGTGCCCTGCCCCCGAGCGTCGGCCCCCTTCCCCCGGGGTCTGGCCCATGCCTGCCGGTGGGCCAGGCGCATGACTGTCCCATCTGTCCTGCAGCCGTCAGTGGGCCAGGTGGCCCGTGTGGATGTCAGCAGCAAGGTGGAGGTGGTGTGGGCTGACAACTCGAAGACCATCATCCTGCCCCAGGTGAGGCTCCGCCAGAGCCCATGTGGCTGCCGGCCACCCAGCCGGAGAGGGGCCATCTCCCTCCCCATCCCCTCTCTGGGAATGGAGCAGGCCCACTTGAGGCCCTTGGTGACCAGAGGGCCTTCTTAGGGGTCAGAGATCTTGGAAGACGAGCACCTCCAGGTTAGGGGGGTCACCCTGTAGGTTGACCACCTGCTTCCAGGGCCGTGGTTTTCATGCGCCCCATATCACTGAGCTGCAGAAACCTTGGTGACCTCGTAAGGGAGAGACGGGGTCCCCCCGTCACAAGGGGACCTTCATCAGCCGAGGAGGGCTGTGGTCCCTGCTGGTGCTCCTGAGACCATCCGTGTCCCCCTCATTTGAGTCCACTCCCCAGCACCAGTGCCGGGGTGAGGAGCAGCTTTCCTCATCTGACAGGCCATTCGGGACCCCCTCCTGTCTCATGCCTGAGAAGGCACCCTTGTCCCCACTCACAACTGACCTGAGCCCTCCGGGATGTGGCTGGATTTGCCTCATTCTTTCCCTTGGGCTCCTCCCTTGGGGCAGATGCTGACCACAGGTGCAGAGGTGGGAGGCTGGGCTTGGGTCTGGGCAATAGTGCAGGTGACGGGTAACGCCCAGGGACCAGGGGCCCGGCCAGCTCTGGAGCCCAGAGCTTCAGGGTTCAGAGGGTTGGGAGAGGATGGGGTTGCCGCAGCCTTAATGAGCCCAGTCATAGCTGTGAGGATCAGGGGTCCCCCAGCAGAGCCCCCACCTGAGTGCTTCCTTCTGCTCCAGCACCTGTATAACATCGAGTCCGAGATCGAGGAATCTGACTACGATTCGGTGGAAGGCAGCACCAGCGGGGCGTCCTCGGATGAGTGGGAGGATGACAGTGACAGCTGGGAGACAGACAACGGGCTGGTGGAGGACGAGCACCCCAAGACCGAGGAGCCCCCCATCCCTGCAGCCACGCCACCAGCTGCCCCCGAGGAGGACAAGGGTGTGGTCATCAGTGAAGAGGCCGCCACAGCTGCCATCCAAGGAGCTGTGGCCATGGCCGCCCCCATGGCAGGGCTGATGGAGAAGGCGGGCAAGGATGGGCCCCCCAAGAGCTTCCGGGAGCTGAAGGAGGCCATCAAGATCCTGGAGAGCCTGAAGAACATGACGGTGGAGCAGCTGCTGACCGGCTCGCCCACGTCCCCCACCGTGGAGCCCGAGAAGCCGACGCGGGAGAAGAAGTTCCTGGACGACATCAAGAAGCTGCAGGAAAACCTCAGGAAGACCCTGGACAACGTGGCCATTGCCGAGGAGGAGAAGATGGAGACGCTGCCCGATGCTGAGCGCCCTAAGGAGGACAAGCCCGAGGCCACGTCCCCGGTCAAGGCTGAGTGGCCCAGTGAGACCCCGGTGCTCTGTCAGCAGTGCGGGGGCAAGCCGGGCGTCACCTTCACCAGTGCTAAGGGCGAGGTCTTCTCTGTGCTGGAGTTCGCCCCCTGTAAGTCACCTGGTCCCCTGCCCCTACCGGCTGCTGCCCAGCGCCACTCCCCAGATAGCCCGAGACCTCTGGGAGGCGAGGGTGGGCAGCAGGTGGGTGGGTCACATGACCTGGCTGAGCACGCATGCTCAGCCGGGTCCCCCAGAGTGACAGCCACACCCCCAGACAAAGCTCTGACCATCCCCCAGGACTGACCCCTCTCTCTTACCCTCCAGCAAATCACTCCTTTAAGAAAATTGAGTTCCAACCTCCCGAGGCCAAGAAGTTCTTCAGCACAGTCCGGAAGGAGATGGCACTGCTGGCTACCTCACTCCCCGATGGCATCATGGTCAAAACCTTCGAGGACAGAATGGCAAGTGGGCTGTGTGGGCATGGAGTGGGCCTGATGCACACGGGGTGGGGTGCAGAGTGGGGCCCAGCGCCCCAGAGCTGCCACTCACACAGGCACGGGCATGGGCAGGGATCACAGTTGTCTGGCAGGTGTTCCTTCACTTTGTAAAATCAGTCTTAAATGATAATATCTCCTGGGGTCCTTGACTGGGACAAACCATTAAGCGTTCAACCCATTCAGAAGTACTTTGCAAAATGTAATTGTTGTTGTGTGCTGTCGAGTTGACCACAGCTCATTGCGACCCTGTGAACAGCTTTGAACCTTTGATCTGAGCCGGCCTCACCGTCTCTGACACACCTGACCCCAGTGTCACAGTCACTGTGTTGAGCCAACTCACCCTGGGTCTTCCTCTCTTCACTGACCCTCCACCCTTCCTAGCATGATGCCCTTCTCCAGGGCCTGCTCCCACCTGACCACATGCTGGAGGTACGGGAGCCCTGGAGGATATACCTGGAGATTTGCGTTCACAAGGTCAAAGCCTTGAAAGCCTCGTGGCGCAGTCCCACCCTCTAACACACGGGGGCGCCAGAGCGGGCATCAGCGCCACCGCCGCTAACACCTCGCTGCCCGCTCTGAACCACTGGAGACACCAAAAGACCCGAAGGTACGCGGTTCGAATCCACCAGATGCTCCGCTGGAGAAGGACGGGCAGTCTCCCCTCCTCCTGTGCCGTTCAGATCCGATTCCATGGTACACACCCCAAAAAAGAAGAAAAACAAAACAGACATCAGAAGACCAGGCCAGTTTCCGTGAAGTCAGAGCAAAGTCAGCAGTTCTGTTAGTTCTCCATCATCTTTATGGGAGAAGACCCTTCTTTCTCCCACAGAGCCATTGCTGGATTCAAACCGATGACCTTTGAGTAGCAGGGTGGCACCTGATGCCTCACCCCCACCAGAGCTCAGTGGTCTATCAAAATACTGCAGACCTATTAGGATCGTGCAGTCCGTGGTCTTCACAGTTACTTGCTGTGCATCAGAGAGCTGGATAAAGACTAAGGAGGCTAGACGGGCCGATGCCTTTGAGTGGTGCTGCTGCAGAAGAGTCTTGAATGTACTGTGGACCGCTAAGAAAACAAACAGGTCTGTCTTGGAGAGAATGAAACTAAGTTTCTCCTTAGAGGCTAGGATTTGAAGTGCCATCTCACATGACCATGAGTGACTCATCCATGGAGAAGGACATCATGCTCGGAAGGGCGGAGAGGTAGACCCTGGATCAGACGGATCGATACAGTAACTGGGGCGATGGGAGTTGGTGTGTCGCAGTCAGACTGGCTCAGGACAGGGCAGGCTTCAGAGCTGCCGTACAGAGGGTCACCACTATGAGTCGCAGGCACTTGATGGCACATAATAGCAACAAAATAACAAAACATAATAATAACAAAAACATAATAGCAACAGAAGAAAGGTTGCCTCGGCCCATCCTCCCTGTCTAGCCTTCCTCTGCCCCTGGCGGGTCATGAAGTTCTGAGTTGGGGTTCACTCTGTCCCGCTCTCAGGTACCACCATCATCTGGTGTGTGTAACACAGCAGGTCACCAGCCACATCTGGAAGGTGTTCGGTGGTCAGCAGGTGGTTCCGAGTCCTCTGGTTTGTTCTCTGGTTGTAGAGAAGGAGCCTGCAGACCGCTCAGGGTCACCCTCCACATTCCCTGCTGCAGTCGAGCTGTCCTCTCCCTCAAGGCTCCTAACAGTGTTTACCCAGGGGTGAGCACTTCCCTGTCCACCCTGAAACCCTCCTCTGCTCTCCTCCACCATCCCCTAGACTTGCCCTCACTCTGCTGTGGCCAGGTCGAGCTGGACACTGAGCTAGAAGCTGACAGAAATGGTGGCTCGGGTCCCAGGCCTGCCCTGTGTGATGGGCCAGAGGAAAGTGGGTCTTCTCTAGGACACCTTCTTGCCTCAGCTCTGCTGTCCCCAGACCTCCCGGAGAAGAGGGCAGGGTGGCATGCAGCTGGAGGCCGTAGGGTGAGGCCAGTGAGCCTGAGGGCACCCCAGCTTTCCACTCAGCCCTATGCCCCTTGCCACACTGGTGGCCTCGTGTGTGCCCTCTGTCTGCGCAATCACTGCACATGGTCAGGCCCTGTGAGCCACCCTCAGCCGTGTCCACCTCACCCAGCCCCTACCTCACACTGTGCCCAGCACTGAGGCTCTGCAGGGACAAGCATTTGTGGGGCGTCTCCTTTCGAGCTCAAGGGTTTGGATTTCTACGTGGGCTTCCAGCGTTTTTCCATGAGCTCCGAGCACTGCCCCCAGGAAGCAAGGACAGACAGCCTGGCCAGAAAATTCTCGCGTCCTCCACTTTGCCTTCACTGTTGCTAACACTGGGAGTTCAGGGCAAGTGTCCTGAGGAGTCCGATTTTCAGTCGTAATTTATGAGGGAAGAAGCAACGTGAGACCCGACTGGGGGTCTGCTCTGCTGGGGTGGAGAAGCAGGGGGCTCTGCTCAGGGCCTGCGTTGACCGTCGTGGCTGCTGGGATCTGCCCCAGGGTATCTTGTCACATGCTGCCCGGGAAGTAGGCACTGCTCCCCCACGCCAGGCCTTCACCAGCTGTCCCTCCTCTGCAGGACCTCTTCTCTGCCCTAATCAAGGGGCCCACCCGGACTCCCTATGAGGATGGCCTCTACCTGTTTGACATCCAGCTCCCAAACATCTACCCGGCTGTGCCCCCCCACTTCTGCTACCTCTCCCAGTGCAGTGGCCGCCTGAACCCCAACCTCTATGACAACGGGAAAGTGTGTGTCAGCCTGTTGGGCACCTGGATTGGAAAGGTGAGGCACTGCAGCCCACTGGGGGCAGGCGGGCGGGGCAGCGGCCAGGACACTGTGACACTCTGTGTCTTTCCAGGGAACAGAGAGGTGGACCAGCAAATCCAGCCTTCTCCAGGTGCTCATCTCCATCCAAGGTACCCAGGCAGGAGCGGGGTGCTGGGACCGGGGCTGGGAGTGAGAGGGTCGTCAGAGGACCTGCGCCCCTGCTGTGCCCAGGGTGCGCCGGCCCGCCTGTCCCGGGTGGCTTTTCCCCACTGAGGGCTGGCATCCTCATCTCTGCCAGGCCTGATCCTGGTCAACGAGCCGTACTACAACGAGGCGGGCTTCGACAGCGACCGGGGCCTGCAGGAGGGCTACGAGAACAGCCGCTGCTACAACGAGATGGCCCTGATCCGCGTGGTGCAGTCCATGACCCAACTGGTGCGCAGGCCCCCCGAGGTCTTCGAGCAGGAGATTCGGCAGCATTTCAGCGCCGGCGGCTGGCGGCTGGTGAACCGCATCGAGTCCTGGCTGGAGACCCACGCGCTGCTGGAGAGGGCCCAGGTGCTGCCCAACGGCGTCCCCAAGGACAGCAGCTCGCCGGAGCCCCCCGCGGGCGCTGAGCTGTCAGACTCCGGCCGGGAAGAAGTGGAGGATGGCGGCCTGGCCGCTGGCGAGGCCTCCCAGGGCTCGGACTCGGAGGGCGGCGCGCAGGGCCCCGCCTCGGCCAGCAGGGACCACACCGGGCAGACCTCAGAGGCCACGCCGGACACGTCGGTGCCGCCCAGCGTCAAACCAAAGAAGCGGAGGAAGAGCTATCGGAGCTTCCTGCCCGAGAAGAGCGGCTACCCTGACATCGGCTTCCCGCTCTTCCCCCTCTCCAAGGGCTTCATCAAGAGCATCCGGGGCGTCCTCACGCAGTTCCGGGCGGCCCTGCTGGAGGCGGGCATGCCCGAGAGCCCCGAGGACAAGTAGCTGCGCTCGCACCAGACCGCCCGTGGGGAGAGGCCAGCTGCTGCCCGCACACGCGCCCTGGAGTCTCCTCTGCCCGTCCCTCCCCGAGCTCACCCCCACTGCCCTCCCCCAGGGCGGGTTTGATGCTGAAGTGTTAAGAAGTTTCTTGAAGGCGGCCGTTTCTTTTCTGAAGCAATCTGAACAGGTGGGTCTCATGGCCAAGGAAGTGTGAACCCTGCTGTGCCCGGCAGTATGTCCTCCTTCCCCTCTCAAGATGCCCACTGGGTCAGAGGTGGGCCCTGCGGCCAGCAGCACGACGGGCAGGTGCGCCTTGCATGAAATGTGAGCAACTGTTCAGTTAGTTCCCCGCAGCTTCCCTGTTCCCGTCCCCTCGCTGCCACTCCACTGCCCCTAGGAGGACAGCCACTCTCACTGACTTGTGACTGAGGCTGGCTTGCTGACATCGGCTGTGTTCTCCATGGGGCTGGGACCGAGTCTGGCTCAGGGGGACCCTGAAGAGATGGAATGAGGGGCCAGGGAGCTGCTGGGAGAGACTGGTAGGTGCCTTGCTCTTCCTGTCTTCGGCCGGCCGGCCGTTTGCAGACCTGTGGGGTGGGAGCCTGGGCGAGCGCTGAGCCACTGGAGATCTGCACCTCCAATCTCGCTGACACCCTCGGAGGGGCGTGCAGTACAGGACACACAGCCGCCTCGGCGCTTGGATGGGAAGGAGACCCCCCCATTCCTGGCTTACCAACTCTGAGTTACCCCTTCAGGAGGAGGTGGCCAGTGGGCACCCCGGGGGGCCTGCCTGAGGTTTACAAGTTTTCTAAGCTTTTGATAATGGGAAGCTCCGGGTCAGAGGTGCACAGTGCAGCTATGTAATTTTTGGTGTATGTATGTTAATATTTAAGGTTGAAAAACCAATAAAATCTCAAGAGAAAAATTTAACAGTGACTAGAAAAAAAAAAAGCCAAAGCATGCAGCGTCTCATTGGCCTTAAGCTGGCCCTGCGCCCGCGCTGTGGCATCCCGGCCAGCGGGCGGGGTGGCACGGGACGGCCGGAGCTCACAGAGCAACGCGGATGACAGAGGCCGAGCCTCCCGCGCCATCCACGGAGACGTCAATGCCTACTGCTTACAAAATCTGTATAAAGTGCGGTGTGAAACTTTTTTTTACTTGCATTTTTTTTGTTTGTTTGGCTCATTACAATGTACAAAACAAGGTGACACCATTAAACCTGCCTCTGCCATTCACCTGGGTCTGTGGCCTGCCTTCTTCTTGGGCCCCCTGGGGCTCAGCTGGCCTCTCAGATGGTGGGAACAGTGCCTGCTGAGAGGCCTCCGCAGATGTGGCCTCCTCACCAGTCTGCCCTCGTCTGCTTTTCTAGTCTCCAAGTAGCTTATTGGTCCTCTGAGCAGGACTGCCACCAAACGCCTGTAATTGACCAGTTTGGCCTGTCCAGCCCCATCCAGCTACCAGGCTTTAGGCCAGAATGGCTGCCAGGCTGGGTGACTGGCAGTGGCCCTGTCACTTCATGGCTGCTGCCTGTTGCTTAGAGCCAGGCACCTTCTGAGTGCACAGTTCAGACGGGGCTCCAGCCAGACGCAGAGCCTGTGTGGCCTCAGACAGGACAGGTGTGCCTCCCAAGCCTCAGTTTTCCATGTGTGGAGTGAGACAGGTAGCCAAGCTTGGAAGTTTCCTCCAGTCCCACGGGTCAGAACGGGTCACTAAGGGGGTCCAGTCATGCATCCACCCCCAAACAAGTGTTCCCAAAACCTTGCCTGGGCCGGACCCCACCCATCCCAACCTTCGGGACAGGACCAACAGACTAAGAATGCCACTTTATTTTTGATTCAAAGACAGGAGTGGCTTCTGCCACACTGGGGCCCCAGCCAGCAGGACTCCAGGCTTGGCTGTATCCTGGCCTCCTGGGAGCCTGCAGGGTGGACTAAGGTGCAGCCAGGCCTTCGAGTCACGACGGCCTTTGTGGCGGCGGCACCGGCAGAGGTGCCTGGCTGGACAAGGATTGCGAGCAGCCGCTCACCAACCAGTAAGAGTATGGGTGGATCTGGCCCTGGATGGCCTCGCTGGCCATCAACTCCCCGTCCACAGTGAACACGCCAGCCTGGGGCTCCAGGCGGAAGGCGACCACAGGCACATACACCAGATAGGGGCAGTTGTACTCCATGTGCCTGCCCTTCTCCATGGCCAGGAAGAGGCGCAGCAGTGCGGCCCGGGACACGCCAGCCCGCACGTAGAACAGGTGCATGACCCCAGTGTCGCAGCGGCCCATGGGTGCCGCAAACATGTCGCTCCCCAGGTGGGAGTGCAGCAGTACCACCACCAGGACGAACTCCTGCTCAGGCACCACGGTCCAGTGAGCGGGCACCGGCTTGTCCAGAGGCGCCAGGAATGTGCTGGCGAGGCCTCTCGTGTCTGGGCCAGGGGAGGTTGGCATTCCAGAGATGGCCCCTCGGGCGGGCAGGTAGGCCAGCCGGCCCTGGTAGATGCGCAGGGAGGCCAGGCGCAGGAAGGTCCCCACGGTAAAGCGGATGGTCCCGAGGCTCCGGTACTTCTCGCTCTCCAGGTCCACGTCAGCCACGAAGCCCCAGGCCAGGCTGAGCACGGAGAAGAGGTGCAGGCCCGAGGCCGTGTGCAGTGACAGCAGGTTCATGGGTGACAGCAGCCGGTGGCACAGCAGCAGTGTGCAATTGGTCAGCAGCTCCTCGTTCATCACCTGCTCGTGCCTGTGGGGGTGCAGGGGCAATGTGGGTGGGTCAGGCAGGACCCCCACCGGCTAGACACCCCCACCCCACCCCACCCCCCCGGGCCTGGAGTGCGGGTAAAGCCAAGGCAGCATCTGGTCCCCGGGCTGCTGGGAGGAAGGCATGGAGACAGCTAGCCGGTGTCGCCAGGAGCGGGCGCAGGACTGGCATCTTCGGAAGCATCCCCAGGGGCTCTGCAGCTAACTAAAGGCTGCTTCTGACCACCCAGGAGTACCTGGAAAGGCAGGCCTGGCCGTCAGCTCCCAAAATCGCAGCCACTGAACCAGAGCCTGGTTCCCTGTGCCGTGGCGGCCATAAATCAGAACCAGCTGGTTTGCTCTGGGAGCGGATGAAGCTGGCAGAGGGGGAAGGGGAAACTGAGGCAGCTCTGGGCTGGCTCTCACCCTGAATAATAGTTCACGGAGGCTGCCAGTGCATTGGCAGAGCCGGCGGGGAGGCTACACAGTGGCTTCCGGATGGCCGTCTGCCAGTCAGGCCGCTCCATGAGCCCGTTGACCACCTGTGGGCGGAGGGTGCCTCAGCCAAGACCTCCCCCTACTCCCCACCTGCCTTGGACCTCTGAGGGTTTACTCACCTCGTGCATCAGCCCATCCCCAGACATGACCACCAGGACGTCCCACAGACTCAGGTCCTCCGTCCGAACCAGCTCCCTAGCATGGTTCCTCCGCTCTGCAGGGACGCTTGGCAGTGAGGCCTGGTGGGGTCTTCCCTGCACCCCCTCACCCCTCCCCGGGGAGGCACCCACACACCCCCTCCCCACTCCCGGGGAGATACCCACACACCCCCACCCCTCCCCGGGGAGGCACCCACACACCCCCACCCCTCCCTG